TTTGCTAAATGGCTATTGTCTGGGAGAGGATATGAGTTAGTTTGAGTTGATTTGAGTTGACTTGGTGAATTTCAAGGGGAAGGGGGGAGGTGGTTTGGGTTATGGGTCCCCGGGGCACTGGCCAGTGCAGTGATATATATGTATATATATATATATATATATATATATATATATATATATATATATATATATATTTGTATGTATGTATGTATGTTTGTGTATGTGCCAGTGTGTGTGTGTTGTATTGTGTTGCGTGTGGTGATGTGTGTGTGTGTGTGTGTGTGTGTTTTGTAGGCGCCCGAATATACAATATACAAGAGTATGGTAGATGGCGAGCTTCTGGTTTAAGGGAGACAACCAAGGTGTCTTGACTCCTTGATTGCAGAGTAATTTGGGAGAGCGACTGCTTCTCGGAGCGAGGTGTTGCTCCTTGGCTGCCCTCAGGGAGTCTGCCTGTCATCTACTACAGTGGTCTAAGTCACGTAGTTAGCATGTGCCAACCGGTAATGAACAAGCAAGTGTTACAGTAATACATAACTCTTGCGGAAGGGGATGTCTAGTGTGGCAAGAAGAGAGAAATAAGCAGGTGAAGCAATAGTCAGGCGTATATGTATATGTATGTCTCTAGATCACTTTGTGACATGTATGATTATATGAATATGTAAAATATAGTAATATGTTATATATATAGCTGGGTTTCATGTGTGTGTGTGTGTCCATACGTGTGCGATCATTATTTTCAAGCTGAATATAGTCTAGAATCTGGCAGACGACATGCTATGCAGTATTAGCTATGCAAAATAGCCTAAATGATACGGTAAACGTTCAATATTCATAGATTAATTTAATAAATTATTGCCATGAAAGTTATGTTGCCATGGAACACATTGTTCTTTTCATTATTATTATCCCTGTTTTTTTATTTTCTTTTTTATCACTATCATTGATACTATTACAAATTCTATCTTGAATATATGATTTTTTCCGTGTACATCGTGTATGTTCTTGGTATTAGGACTAATCACGTTTTCTGTGACAACAAGTGGCATAAAACTTATCGTAGAAAACGAAACCTCTCTTAAAATGTGCGGGGTAACTAATCTAACTATTTTAGAACATAGGACAATCCATGTAATGGAGGATGTACGGGGAGAGCACTGGGGCAGTAATGATGGTAATAATAACAGCAGCAACGAAAATCATGATTATTGTTATTGCATTGATGACCATTGTCATTATCAAAATTCCTTTGTTACTATTATCATTCTTATCATCATCATCACTGTTATCATTCTTATCACTGTCATTATCATTATCATTGTCGTCGTTGTTGTTGTTATCATTATCATTATAATTATCACTATCATTGTCGTTGCTGTCGTCTTCATTCTTATCATCATTATTATCATAATTATTATTATCATTTTGATTATCATTAGTATTATCATTATCATTATCGTTATTATTTTCATTATTACCATCATTACCTCTGCCAAGAATGAAGGAGGAGATGAATAGATTTTTCAAAAATTTACGGGTTTGTCTTAAAATTTTGGTGGTGATCTGGATCATCCGGATCCAGGATTTTCTTTTTATTATTATTGGTTGCACGTTACCCTTTTTGCAAATGCAACTGAAGAAAATATGAATAGATTTTCATGAAATATTTATCAGCCTAACTTAGTTGATATTAAATTTTGGTGGTGATCTGGAGCGTGATCCGGATCCAGGAACTTTTTTAGATTATTGCATCAGTCATCCCTATTGCCTTCCCTCCGCCAAGGTCATGTTTGCGAGAGTCACCTGTGTACTTGAGAAAGGTGATTTGAATCAATTCTTTAAATGTGAATATTCTTATTGCATCAGTGACCCTATTGCTTTGTTGGTATAATCATTTCAATTTTTTACATATTACTATTATCATTATTACTATTATCACTATTAGTATCATCCTTATAATTATTACTGTAATCATTATCATTAGTAGTAGTAGTAGTAGTAACTATTGTTATCATCTTTATTGTTATAATTTTCATTATTTTGATTATCACGATCATTTTTATTATTATTGTTGTTGTTGTTATTGTTTTTATCATTATTATAATATAATTGTTACTATCGTCATTATCAATATCATTATTATCTTTATCATTATTATTATATTATTATTATTATTATTATTATTATTATTATTATTATTATTATTATCTTATTATTATGTATTAATGTTATATCATACATATGTATGTGTAATATATATATATATATATATATATATATATATATATATATATTATATATATATATATATATTAGTTTCTTTATCATTATTGTTTTCATCATTATTATCATTATCATTATCTTTATCATTATCATGTTTATCATGATCATTATCATGTTTATCATGATCATTATCTTTATCATTATCATGTTTAGCATTAACATTATCATTATCATCATTATCATCGTTATCATTATAATATTTATTATCACTATCATCATCATCATCATGATAATAATAGTTATTATTATCATAATCATTATTGTTATCATTTTAATTATCATTATTATTATTATTATTATTATTATTATTATTATTATTATTATTATTATTATTATTATTGCCATCATTATTATCATTATTGTTATCATTATCATCATCGTTACTGTTATATTTATTGTTATCATTAATGACATTACCATCATTATAATTGTTGTTGTTGTCATCATTATTATTGCCACTGGTATTATTATCGTTGTTGTTATCTTTGATACTGTTATCATTATTATCATTTTTCATTGAAATGATCATCATTATGATTATTTACTTTAATGTTTTTTATAGAGTTGTTGTAGCTTTGTTTTTGTTGTTAATGCTGTTGTTTCAAGTGTTATTATCATCATCATACATTCAAAATTTTCCTGTGAAGCGAAGAGTGGCGAGCATGGAAATACAGTATATGTTGCAGAGTAGTCACTTACTTTTCCATTTTATCTAAAGCTTCCGCGATGTTTGACTTAAAAATCAAACCAGCATGTTTAATTCGTTTTATGTGAAATTGAGAAAAATAACAGATACAAAACTCCAAGTGTTGTATCCTCTTAGATTTTATGCAAGATAAATTTATTTCCATTGCCTATTTAGATTTTTTTCTTAGATGAAAATTACTCAGCTTCATTCATCTGTCAATTCAACAGACTGCTTTGATTACGAGAACACAACTTAAATCACTTGTAATTCATTGTATCAGCCACTTTCTCGGCTCTCTCTCTCTCTCTCCTCTCTCTCCTCTCTCTCTTCTCTTCTCTCTCTCTCTCTCTCTCTCCTCTCTCTCTCTCTCTCTCTCTCTCTCTCCCTCTCTCTCTCTTCATGGCTTGCAGATGCTTTTAAAATCAATCGCCGTTTTCAATTGACCGCCTGTATGTTGCTCTTCATTGGATCGACATAAGTTTTCCCGGGGAATATGTTACTTGTTGCCTTGGATAAAATGCAAATGGCATTTGCCAAGTTTTGAATAAATTGAAATACATAAAAGTAAAAAAAAAAAAGAAATAACATTATACATATACATATAAAAAAGAGAAAAGAAGAAAAGAAAAACAACAGAAAAGATATATATATATATATATATATATATATATATATATATATATATATATATATGTGTGTGTGTGTGTGTGTGTGTGTGTGTGTGTGTGTGTGTGTGTGTGTGTGTGTGTGTGTTTATGTTGTGTGTGTATCTATATATACTCATACATACATACATACATACATATATATATATATATATATATATATATATATATATATATATATAATATATATGGAAGAAAAACCACAATGCACAAATTAGATTTTTTATGAAAATCAATGCATTGTGGTTTTCTTCCCATATTATCAACACGGTATTGTGTTTTTCATTGCATATATATATATATATATATATATATATATATATATATATATATATATATATATATATATATAATATATATATATATGACTTACACCCCACCCCCTGGAAGTGTAAGCACGATAAAGTAAAAATCGCATTAACTACAACAGTAGATCCTTCCACTCTGCACCAGCCAGACCTTCGTCAGCTGTTGCCGTCCCAGCACGAGCACCACGACCGGCCCCAGTGTCCATTTCGAAGGAAAATACTGGTGCAAATGTTGCTAAAGGTGATACTCCGCTCTGGATAACAGCAGTCTACAGTACTGTTGAAATCGGTCATGAAAATACATCTTTTGAATACAGTAGAAAGTGCTCCGGAAGTGAAATTCAGATTGAACGATGTGTACGCACGGTGCAGGAACGAGGTTCTTAGACACAAATACCTCGAAGGAGCAAGTGAACTTCTGAAAAATGAAAGATAAGTCAGCGACTCTTTGTGACATGGGAATGACATAACAACACCGTGGTGTGATTAAGGACAAAGCCTAATCCAGGTGGGCAAATAAGTTCAATCTTCCTGTTAAGTAGTTAATGTTTACCTTTTGACTCGAGTTCAGCCCCAGTGAGTAGATGTCTTTACACCTTTCTCTGTGTTTAACGGGATGTAAATTGTACGGTAGTTAACTTTTCAACTTCAAAAAGTTGTCCCTCCCTCCTTTTCTCGTTATCTCTCTCTTCTTTGGCATATGGTTAGGTAATAAGGCATTTTCTACGCTTTATTATCATTTGCCCTTACCTCAAAAGAGCTTGTGTTAGTAGTTTGTATCCCTTAACTGTTTTGTTATAACACTGCATTATATGGCCATTTCGTATAATTTCTTAAAATAAATGTAAAGAATCATAGCACAAAGTCAATTATGATATGTAATTAGAAAACTGTAAGATCTTATTGACAGCGTATAAGTGAGACCAAAACGTGCCTTGGTTGGATCCCACGCACAGAGCATGGTGAAGGTCATGAATTAAAGAATAAGCACTACCAGTTTGCAAAATAAGTTCTCACAGGCGAATGATTGGATGAAAACGCGAGATAAATGCTTGTATATAAATATATTTTTTAATCGTTTTACTAAGTAAGAAAACTATAAATTACTATCAGAATACTCTAAAACAAATAACAGTTGAATAACAAAAAACGCTTAGCTAACTAAATGGAATAAATATCACCTTAATATATAATCATAAATAACACAAAGTCATGCGGTTCACACATCACTCCCACACCAAACGAGTGTTTTATGTGCACTTGTTCTGCGTGTACTGAATGATGGGAACGCCGTAAGGGTTGGAGGCGCTACCCAGATGGGTGTTGGTGTTGTCCTTAAACTTCACGTAGAAATACTGCAAACCGTCCGGCACCGTGTAACTGATCTAGAAGGCAAAGAGGATAAGGATTAGGCAAGACAAACGATAAGTGATCAGTCATTTGTATCTAATGCATGGTTATTCTCTTGCTATCAAAACTATTTTGTATCTAATGCATTTCCTTTCTTTTCAGTGCGCAAACAGGCAGCCATCAGTCGCGAAAGGTGTTTCCATCATCATAACATTTGGTAAATGGACATGGGTATAATTGATTAATTCAGGAAAAGCAAAAGAAATGTGCTAAAGTTTATATAGTCCATCATATGAATGAGTAAAACTTATAAGTGAGCAAATGAACATGAAACAATTTTGTCTTTATCTTACATACATTTACATAGATTCTAATAAGATTTCTACAGTTATTTGCTAGTTTGTAAGCAAGTTTGATAATGAGAAATTAAGTTTGATAGGCGCTGCACTCGATACCTCTCTCTCTCTCTCTCTCTCTCTCTCTCTCTCTCTCTCTCTCTCTCTCTCTCTCTCTCTCTCTCTCTCTCTCTCTCTCTTCTCTCTCTCTCTCTCTCTCTCTCTCTCTCTCTCTCTCTCTCTCTCTCTCTCCTCCTTCCTTCCTTCCTTCCTTCCTTCCTTCCTTCCTTCCTTCCTTCCTTCCTTCCTTCCTTCCTTCCTCCCTTCCCCTCATCACATCACCACTCACTCACTCCCTCCCTCTTTCCCTCCTTCTTTCCTCCCTCCTCTCCCTCCCTCTCTCCCCTCTTTCCCTCCCTTTCCCTCCCTCCTCCCCTCCCCTCGTCTTCTTTCCCTCCCTTTCCCTCCCCTCCCTCTCCCTCCCTCTCTCCTCTTTCCATCCCTCCTCCCTAATTCCCCCCCCCTCTCTCTCCTCTCTCTCCTCTCTTCTCTCTCTCTCTCTCCTCTCTCTCTCTTCTCTCTCTCTCTCTCTCTCTCCTCTCTCTCTCTCTCTCTCTCTCTCCCTTCTCTCTCTCTCTCTCTCTCTCTCTCTCTCTCTCTCTCTCTCTCTCTCTCTCTCCTCTCTCTCTCTCCTCTCTGCTCTCCTCTCTCTCCCTTCCTCCCTTCCTTCTCCCTCCCTCCCTCCTCCCTCCCTCCCTCCCTCCCTCCCTCCCTCCCTCCCTCCTCCCTTACTGTAATATACCTACCCCTGCCCTCCCTCTTTCCCCTCCCTCTTTCCCCCTCCTCCCTCTCCTCTCCTCCCCTCTCCTCCCTCCTCTTTTTCCCTCCCTCTTTCCCGCTCCCTGCCCCTCTTTTCCCTCCCTCGCTTCTTTCCCTCCCTCCTTCTCCTCCCCATCCCTCTCGTCCCCTCCCCTCTTTTCCTCCTCTTCCCTCCCTCTTTCCTCCTCGCACACTCTCCTCCTCTCCTCTTCCATCACTCTCTCTCATCTCTTGCATCCCTCCCCTCTTTCCCTCCTCATATTTCTCTCTCTCTCTTCCTCTCTCTCTCTCTCCTCCTCTCTCTCTCTCCTCTGCTCTCTCTATCTCCTCTCTCTCTCCGTTCTTCACTCTCTCTCTCTCCTCTCCTCTCCTCTCTCCTCTCTGTCTTCTTCTCCTCTCCTCTCTCTCTCTCTCTCGCTCTCTACCCTCTTTCTCCCTCTGCTCCCTCCCTCTCTCCCTCCCTCCCTCGCTCCTCTCCTGCCCTCTCTCTCTCTCCGGTCCTCCCCCCTTCTGTTCTCCTCTCTCTCCTCCTCCTCTCTCTTCTTCTCTTCTTCTCCTCTCACTGCTCTTCGTCACCTCTCTGCTCCCCCATCTTCTCTCCTTCGCGATACCTCTCGTTTCTCCTTGCCTCTCTCTCCCATTTTCTCTCGCCTCCTCCCTCTCCTCTCCTGCGTTTCTCCCCAGCTCTCTCTCTCTCTCCTCTCCTCCTTGCCTTCTGCATCTCCCCTCTCTGCGTCGCTAGTCCCTCTCTCTCTCCCTCTCTCTCCTGTCTTCTCTCCGTTCCCTCTTCATCACCCCTCCCTCTCCATCCCTCCCTTCTTCTCTCTCTCATCTCAGTGCAGTGAGCATTTTATGGCGGGCGTGTCGCTCCTCCTCTCCTCTCTCGTCTTCCTCGTCTCTTCCCTCCTTATCTTCTCTCCGCTCTCCTCGGCTCTCTCTTCCCTTTCTAATCTCGCCCCTCGTCCTTGTGCTCTCCTCTCATCAGCTCGCGTCCTGCTCTCTCCTCCTCTCTCTCCAGTCCACAGTCGCTCCGCACATCTCTCTCTCTCTCTCTCTCCTCTCTCTCTCTCTCTCTCTCTCTCTCTCTTTCTCTCTTCTCTCTCTCCTCTCTCCTCCTCTCTTCGTCTCTCTCTTCTTCCTACTCCCTCTCTCTCTCTCTCTCTCCTCTCTCTCTCTCTTCCTCTCTCTCTCTATCTCTCTCTCTCACACTCTCTCCTCTCCTCTCCTCTCTCTCTCTCTCTCTCATCATCTCTGCCTCTTTCTCTCCTCTCGCTCTTTCCTTCTCTCCTCTCTCCTCTCTCCTCATCTCCTCTCGTCCTCTCTCCTCATCCTCTCTCTCCCGGTCTCTTTCTCTCTCCTCTCTCCCTCCCCTTCGTTCCCTCCTCTCCCTCCCTCCCTCCCTCCCTCTCTTCCCTCCCTTTTTTTTTCCCCTCCTCCCTCCCTCCTCTTTTTTCCCTCTAGCCTCTTTCCCTCCCGTCTTTCCCTCCCTCCCTCCCTTCCCCGCCTCCCTTTGGTAACCGCGCTATGTCGTCGCGTTCATTAGTACTACCCTCCCTCTTTCCCCTCCCTCTTTCCCTCCTCCTCCTCTCCTCCCCCCATCTGTTTCCCTCCCGTCTTTTCCCTCCTCCCCTCTTTCCCTCTCGCCTCCATCATCTCCCCTCCACCTCTCTCCCCCTCCCGGTAGCCCTCCTTCTCCGTCTCTTCTTTGCATATTCTCCTTGAGTGGGCCTCCTCTTACCTCTCCTCTCTTTATCCCTCCTTTCTCTCTCTCTCTTCCCTCTCCTCCTCTCTCTCTCTCTCTCTCTCTCTCTCTTTCTATCATCATCTCTCTCCTCTCCTCCTCCACTTCGTTTCTCGGTTCTCGTCATCATCTCTCGTCTCTCTCACTCTCTCTTCATCTCTCCTCTCTCCTCTCATCTCTCCTTCTCCTCGCATCTCTCTCTCAGTCTCCTCTCTCTCTCTCTCTCTTCGATCTCTCTCTCTCTCAATCTCATCGTCGTCTCATTTCCTTTCTCCTTTCTCCCTTATCTCCGTCTCTCCTCTCTCATCTCCTCCTCTCGTCCTCTCTCTAATCCTCTCAACTCCTCAAACCTCCTCATCCCTCCCCTCCCTCAACAATCCCTCCTTCTCCCTCCTCCCTCCCTCCATCCGTCCTCCCTCCCGCTCCCTCCTCCTCTCTCTCTCTCTCTCTCTCTCCTCCTCCTCGTTCTCTTCTTCTCTCTTCTCTCTGCTCTGTCTCTCCTCCTCTCCTCTCGTCTCCCTCTCTCTCCTCATCTCCTTCGTCCTCTCTCATCTCATCTCTCGTCTCTCTCTCCATCTCATCATCTCTCTCATCTCTCATCTCTCTCCTCTCTCTCCTTCTCTCTCTCTCTCTCCTTCCTCTATCCTCGTCTCCTCCTCTCTCTCCTCTCTCTCCCTTCGTCTCCTATCTCCTCTCTCTTCCTCTCTCCTCTCCTCTCTCCTCTCCTCTCTCCTTCCTCCCTCTCTCTTCTCTCTCTCTCTCCCTCTCTCTCTCCTCTCTCTCTCTCTCTCTCTCTCTCTCTCTCTCTCTCTCTCTCTCTCTTCTCCTCTCTCTTTCTCTCTCTCTCTCTCTCCTCCTCTCTCTCTCTCTCTCTCTTCTCTCTCTTCTCTCTTCTCTCTCTCTCTCTCTCTTTCTTCCTCCTCTCTCCTCTCATCTCTCCTCCTCTTCCTCTCCTCTCTTTCTTGTCTCTCTCTCTCCTCTCTCTCTCTTCCTCTTCTCTCCCCTCTCTCTCTTCTCCCTTCTCGTCCCTCTCCTCTCTCTCTCTCTCTCCTCTCTCTCTCTCTCTTGCTTCATCTCCATCTCTCTCCCTCCTCTCTCTCTTCTCTT